AGCTAGATTTTGTCCTTTTTCTTCCTCTATATTTTGAAATCTAAGATAGAATTCTGATCTGTCCATCTCCCACTTCAGCATCCCACTTTTATCTTGTTCAGCCACTGTTAATCTACTGTTGATGTTTCCAATCTTCTCATCTCTTTGTTTATCTTCTTCAATTTTTTGGAATCTCTCATATTTCGCCATCATTTGTTGAATATTTTCAATTTTTTCATCAGTCTTCCCTGTTCTTTGTTCGATGTTCTCTGTTCTTTGTTCAATGTTCTCTGTTCTTTGTTCAATATTCTCTTTTCAATGGTGTCTGATTTTGTTTTAAGATCTTGGATTCCTTGCATAATCACCTGTAGAGTCACTTTTTCTTGTTCTTTATCTTGCTTTAACATTGTCTGAATTAAACGTTGTCCTCCAGATGGTGGGGAGGTGGAAGTAGAAGTTGAGGTACCAGAAGGTATGAGTTTCCTACTCATTTTGAACGTCAAAATCTTCAAATTCAAGTAGCCAATTATAATCCAATATGAGAAATAAAGGTGGTAGAGGGTAAAAAGCCCAATAGTAGTGTAAAAAAAGGAAAGAAAAATTATTCAGGTTCTTCTGAACCTTAATCCAATTATGAAATGGTCAATTATAATCCAAGATAAAAAATAAAAATAATAAGAAGAAAAAAGCCCAATAATAATTTTAAAAAAAGATGAGACTGAAAATTTCTTTAGGTTCTTCACACCTTAATCCAATTGAGAGGTCTCAAAAATAAAAATAAAAAAACCCATAAAGATGAACCAAAAATATGGATGGAAGAAGCAAAAATCCCAATGAAAAAAGAAAAATTCTGAGGCTTTCCCTTTAAAATAAAAGACAAAAGTAAAAATATTACAAAAATAAAGGTTTTTTTTCTTTTTTTAAAAAAAGGGAAAGAAGTACAGTAGAGCTGGTAAGGAGGGGTAACACAACTAAAAAATAAATAAAAAGAACACACTGCACTTTATTTAATCATCCAAGGCTCTTATTAAAAGTCTCTTCTCCACAAGCTTCAAAGCCAAGCTACAATTGTTGATAGAAGTCCAGAAGAACACCTGTAATAACACTCTCGTGTTCTTCCCTCTATCTTATCAAGTTGCAATGTCCTTGAAAGGGGAGTCTTTCTCAATTTCATGTAAAATATTTTCAAGCCTCTAGTTGGCAGTGTTACAAAGTTGTTCTCACCTTCCCCCTCCTTTCCCAGATAGAATGTAATAGAAGTTTAAAAAAGGAAAGAATATATATATATATAAAAAGAAAAATAACTAAAAGGAGCCTCTAATCTGAAAGATTAAAAAATCAAAAAAGAGAGGAAAAAATAAATATATAAAAAAGAGAAACCAGTCCAGTTAACAAAGCTAAATCATGATAGAAGTCCAGTAATAAAAAAAGTAAAAAGCCAAGCCTCACTTTGACGTTTCCATTTAAAAACCGCCGCTTACTCAGTTCTGTCAAAACTTTTACAGGTTTTTTCTTTTTCTTAGGGTGTCCTTTTAAGTCTCAGAATAATAGTAAAAAAAAAGTTCTCACCAAACCGACACACTTTCTCTTTCAGTCTCTTCCATTCCGGAGCTGTCCCAACTTCAGCAGCTTAATGGCTGCCTCTCCGCCACTGGCAAAAGGGCTTCTCCTGAATCAACCAGGGACTTTGTGGTGTCCCTGGGATCCACAGGATGTGCCCTTCACTATCACCGTCTCTACAGGATGGTTTAGGTCCGTTTGGACCGACCAGGGGTGAAGATATCGGCTGCAGTCTCAGAGCCCCGAGATTGCAGCCATATCGTCGCGATGTCAGCTCTGCCTTCTCCTTTTTCACTTTAAATTTTATTAGGCAAGCATTTGATACTGCAGGTTACAGAGTTGCCTAGATTATGACCAATGTCTTACAAATAAATTAAAAGAAAAAGTCCAAAATAAAATGTAATGCTCTGGATAAATCACAAGATGGCTCCTGTCTATTACAAATAGATATTTATCTAAAGCTCAGTGAAATGCTGCACACATTTCACTGCACATTATAAAAGCTAAACAAATATAATTCCATGCATTCAGCCTGAAGAATGGATGAAGGCTGAAGTTCTATAACAGAGATACAGAGGCTTTAGGTCTAGGAGAACACAATAAACATAATTTAAGTACAAATTCTTCACTACAAGAATTTCTACATAAATAATATTTTAGAAGCAAAAGCTTCTCTGATTTAAGTCTAGAGATTCTCAGACATCCAGATCAAGGTGCTTTTTCAGGTGACAACTGGACTTTCTTGTCCCCACCCCCTTTTGAAGACATTTTGCTTCTCCTCCAAGAAGCTTCTTCAGCTCTGACAGGATAGTGGGGAATGGAAGGATTTATATTCGTTGCAGACAGCTTCTCATTTGCATCCTTTTAGAGGGTCCTTGAAGCACTCTGTGTTCCCAGATCACCTGAGTAGTGTTCCTGGTTCCTGTAGTCTGCAATTTTTCCTCTGGAAATGCATCCATATTCCCACACCATTCAAAAGCATTTATCCAAAATTATATAGATATCTCTATATCTATATATATCTATATCTAAAAATCTGTAGTCATCCAGGCCATTCTCTGCTTTATTTACCTGGATCTTCTCCAAATACCTGGAAGTGCAAAATTTTAATCAGAGATGATAGTTAATTTCGTACGGTATCTCTTCTAGCACCCATACACTTTAAAATAGCTCTGTTCCTTTATTTTACAACAGCCATTGCTTTTTTATAGCTGGAAGAAGGAGGGGTTCTGGTCACTTTTAGGTGAAATGGGTGGCGTACAAGTCAAATAAATAAATTGAAATCGTATTCACAATAACAAATGTTGCTATAATATAAATATTTAAAATATAGTTACATTAACTAAGTTTGTTGCAGAGATATTTATCTAGAAAAATGATAAATAGGATGTGAGAAGTATGATTTTTTTCAAAATACTTTTATGATTCCCAAAACCTCCCAAACCTGAGAAGCAAAATTATGGAAGGGGGCTTGCAGGCTTTAGAGGAAAAATAAATTCCTTCAGATGTTTCAGACAACATTTTAACCCTTAAATCCCTGAACCTCTTTTCTCAAGTAGGACTTATCTTCACCTACTTTTTAGAGAGCTGTCCCCAATTATCACGCTAAATTGAAGTGGCCATCAAGCCTAGGTAAATGTTTAACCACGGGTGCAAATAAACTAAAGAGTACAAAAGGAGAGAGGAAAACATGGTTAATTCCAAGCAGTGTTTGCTGTGAGGTTGGAATGCATTGGGCATGGGAAAACTGACTGTGTGAAGCTGAAAAAGAAAGCTGCTGGGATCCTGGATCTGGGTCTTTGGACTGCTTCAGTTTTGGAACAATTTGATTTTAGAGAGAGATTTCTTTCATGTTCATTTGATGTTTCTCTGTAGGCTTTAATGTACTCATTATTGGCTTAGACCTGTGGGAGAAGCCAAATACCAATAGCACCTAGACTTATATACTGCTTCACAGTGCTTTATAGCCCTCTCTAAGCAGTTTACAGAGTCAGCATATTGGCCCCAACAATCTGGGTCTTCATTTTACTGACATCAGAAAGATGCAAGGCTGAGTCAACCTTGAGCCTAGTGAGATTTGAACCGCCAAAGAAGTACCCTGCTGTACTGCACTCTAACCACTGCGCCACTGTGGCTCTTCTAGGACTTAGATGTACAGCTAATGGAAAGCATCTTTTAGGACATCAGATCACAATGGTGATGATGGCAGATAAAAAGACATGTTCACACAGATTCCTTGTGCGATTTCTTAATCACATTCCCACAACCTCACTGGTTTCAGAGTTGAAGATTTTCTCTCTCTCCTGTTTCTAACTATCTGAAAAGAGACCAAAACTGTGTCGTCTTTTGTAAATCTGCAACTATGCAGACCGTGCAGGGGACTGGCTTCTGTATCATCCAAAATTAACGGAGGTAATATTCCAGTTCCTAATGTGAAAAGGTGCCATGGATCTGACTGGCACAGGTGGCACATTCAGGTAGCTCTTGGCAACTCTTTAAATCAAAATTCCAGTTTGAGCTAAGGGGCCCTAAAGAAAGCAACAGGGCAGTCATAAGAGCAATGAGGAATGCTCTTTTTAAATGCAAGAGAAAAGCAGTCCTTTCTCAACTCTCCTTCCTTTGCTTATTGTAGTGAAGACTAACACCCAACATGTGGATTAGCAATGGGATGCTAGCAATGTATTTGATTTTCCCTTTCATGGGGAATGATGGCATGTAGACTTTTGTCCCTTTGGAATCTGCGGTAGTTCAAAGAATGGATCTTTGCCCAGATAACTTTAAATATACCCCCCTTGGTTGTAGAAGTGAACTAATTGAGTCCTAATGTTCCTCGCACATTTGCAACATTACACGATCTGCAGAAGCGAGGATGGAGGGATTTGGAGAAGAAACCACACGTTCCAGGCTATTTTAATTAATTCGCACGCGAGCAATTATGCCTTGAAGCAACCCCTGTCCAAATCAAAGGGATAGCGGCAGGAAGTTCAACTATTCTTGAGGAGGGAAGTAAACACAGGGTACCAATGCGTGCTGAGCACCAAGATCATCCTGGAAGTGCAGCAGTGGGGAAGCCACGTTTCCACTCTCCTCCCGCAATCCCGGGCGCTTTGGATTTCGGCGGGCGAAACAAGGCGGAGAGATCCAAAGGAAGGCGCTGTAGCCCACAGGTTTTACGAAGGTCCACAGAACCCCACCGGCCGCTCTGGTCCAGCGCAAAGCATATTCGGTGAGGAGGGCGCGGAACAGCAGAGGGCGCTGCCGGACAGGTCCAGGCCCGGTGGCGCGGAGCGGCAAAGAATGCAGCGCAAGGGAGGGTTGCTGACTGCTGGGCGAGCAAGAGGAGCTGATGCTGCAAAGCCGCCCGCCTTTCCCGGTGGGGACCATGAGGAGCGCTGAGCGGGAAGAAGAGTGGAGAGGCTGCGCTTAGCTTCGCCGACCCCGGTTAGCCAGCGCGCTTGACTATGGCTGGGGGAAGGAGAGGGCTGGTGGCTCCACAGAACACCTTCCTGGAGAATATCGTGCGGAGGTCCAACGGTAAGGAGGAAGCCAGCCGGGGGGGTGCAAGGGCGGCTCGGCGGGGGTGGGGTGGGGGAAGCAAGGACCCGCAGAGCGAAACCCGAAACTGGGGAGGGGGGAATTCTCCAATGCGGGGCTGCACTCATGGGCTCCTCCGGGCGGTTTTTTTTGGGGGGGAGGGGGAGAAAGAGGCTGGGCCAGGCTGGCTCCGAACGGGGTGGGGACGCGGCGAGCTTTGGGCTGAAGTGATGCTGCCTTTGGCTGAGAAAGCTTCCCCCAGCCAGGCATCGCCTCAAAAGTCCTGCAGAAGAAAGTGCCCGAAATGCCTGGGAGGGGAAAAACCCGCGAAACGTAGCTGAACCGAGGACAGGAGAGGCTTGCAGGTGCCTTTTGGGCAGGCTTCTTGCTCCGGGTCGGGTTGGAAACCAAAACCACCCGGATCGGGTTTTGTGCCCCGGAGCAAGCGTTGGGAGGGCTACGCACACAGACTGGTTGCAACGGGCTCTTGGCGCCCCCCCGCTTTTTTTTTCCCCGCGGGGACCTCTTGCCGTTGCCCGAGCCTTTTCACTTTCCCCCAACCCGATTTCTCAAGGGCTTCCCCCTCCCTTAGCGCCGAGATTTTGGCGCTATGCAGACCTGGGAAGTCTTTGCAGAGGCTGTGGTGAGATCCTCGGAGAAGAAGAGGAAAGCGAGGGGAGGGGAGGTGTCGAGGATGGGGAGACCTTCTTTCAGGTCTTCCTTTCAGACTTCACATCTCTTACAGACGGAAACTATCCGGAATGCTCTCCAGAATCATAGCTAAAAACAAATTCATTAAAAAGTGCAGGACTGAAAACGATCTGGTGATGTTCTATTTCTCCTCCCACCCCATTGATTCAGTATAACCACTGATTTCTTGATTTGTTTTATGTCATTTAAACACTTCTGCAGTGTAAGAGCATCTTGGAATACTCTTGAAGCTGAATACCAAGCATGTCTAATCTTGATGGACTTATGTTAATATCTTACTGGCCTGCCTTCCCTTTTCTATCTTTATTTCCTAAGTATCCATTCTTGTGCATGGTGGGACTTGCAGATTTCAAATGAAATTCTCTAAATCTGGACCATGTTAAAAGTCATATTTATTTGTTGGGGTGGTGGTGTTGATGTTATTTTGAAGATGTGATACTATTCAGACACTTCAGGTGGGCTCTATAAAAAGAAATTAGATAGCTTTGGCCAAAAGAATTGTTGACATTTGATTAAGTTAGCATCTAGAGATGTTAAAACATAGTTTAAAAAAACACATTTAATTATACAACACCAAATAACCACTGCATTTTAAATCTTTGGAAGCAGAACTAGAAGATGAAAGATTGGAATGATTTTTAAAAAATCTGATTTGGGAATACATTTCCTCCCTCTCATTTATGTGTCATAGAGGATGGTCTACAATGCTTCATCTATTGAACCCTAGTTTAAAAACACCGAGCAAATCAGTTCTCAGCTTGACTGCTACAGTTAGGTGTGGCTATCTCTCTGCATAGGTCTGCTTTAAAAGGCTGTTAATTAAGATGGTTTATTTCCAATTTCTCACTTCCCCTCCCACATCAATACTTTATTGCAATTGTACTATAGTGTCTTAAACAGCTTTCAGAACTGGATGGAAAGTGGGAAGAGGAGGATAAAAATGCTGTACTGTACTTTTATCATATAATATGTATAAAAAGCTTCTTCCAATCCTGAATGATAAGCTGTTCAACATTTTCTTCCATCAATTTTTAAAGGTATTGTAGCCCTCAGCCTAAACATGAACTAGGTTCCTTCCTTCCTGTCTGATTAATTGCTGGTATATGAATGAATTGGGATTCTTGGCTCAGGTATTAGCCATGAAACAGAGTCAAGGCTGGGCTCTATGTAAGAAGGCCGACTGCTTCTGAATTTGCTGGAAAATATTTAACAGTGGGGTAATCAAGCAGATGTACTACTTTAATAACTTCCAGAATTGCTTTGCCATAATTTTAAAAGAAGTTACTTTGTGAAGAAATAGATTTGATTTTTCTGCACACAAACCATAACCAATAATGTTAGCAATTCCATGTTCTTTTAAAATTCACAGTATTAGTCTCTACAATCATCTTCTCAAGTGAAAGTTTTCATATGATAGCAGAGGGGAAATAGAATTAGTCATTAACCCAACATTGGCAAGTATGTTATATTTCTTCAGTTGATTTCATTGTTGTTAGATGGACATACCATTTAGCTAGTGCCAACTATTTTAAAAGGAACAACCTAGTGGCTGTCTTTGGTGTTTGAATAATATTGTCATTAAAATGCTATTTTGAAGAAAGCTCTTAGTAGAAATTGGCATGGCTATTTTTCTAATTTCCTTTTCCAATAAAAGGCTGGCTGGAAAGCTATTGCCCTTAATCAACTTCTTCAATGGCTGCCACAAAATTCTTGAGTGGATTCTGGAGTTCTTTAATCTAGAAGGCTTTATTCCATTTAATTTTTTCTCCCGGCAGTCTGATATACTTATTTTTGCAATTTTGTTCAATTTCGCTCCACCCCAGTTTAGGATTTATTCACTGTAGCTGTTCTGTAGTTCTGAAAATAGTTGCATTCCCCCAAGCCAACTGATACTATCTCCTCCTTATGTTTGGGTTGTACCCTTTTAAGTCCCTAAGACTCCACATATCGAAAATAAGCCCCCAATTAATATATAAGATCACCAGGAGTCATTAAAGTACAGCCTGTTTCAGTATTCTCACATTTCCATCACTTAAGGAGTATCATCATTGGCCCTGCTGCAGAATCTTTAATCCAAAGGTCCTTGCATTAAAATTATTTTTATTAGATGATCAGATAAGTTTTGAAATTTTAACTGGGCTGATTAACTTATGAATATTGTTATTGTGCACTGAATATTTGTGATATGCATGTAAGCAAAGTGTCCATTTTTCTTTATTTAGGGGATTGGGTCAGTGGAAAAGAGATAGATGAGAATGAGGACTTGGATGGGAGAACATTTGGATAACATCCAACTTATGGGCTATAGAGTCTTCATCTAATAACCCATTATATAAGCATTCCATATCGATCTTAGATTTCTTTTATGGCATCCTCAGGTCATTAATTTCTTGGCCGTAACTGTAAGTCCTTCTAAACAAAGAGTGGAAACTATGATGACAGTTGGTAAGGCTAGACAGCCATTTCTCTGAAATACTTTGATATTTTCCAGTAGGACAAGAGGCAAGGAAGGAAGGTTGAAAAGCTGGAACTTGTTTAATTGATGGTGAAATAGTCTTTACTTGGAAATAGGGAATGTTGTGGTTCCTCTGAGGTAAAACAATGGTTCTGTTCACCTGAGTTCTGATTAGCATAAGATGAATGAAAGCAAACAACCTACCTATTTTCCCCACTTCAAAAGCTTTTTTTAAGGAAAGCCTCATAAAATCTCTAGTTGAGGGAACACCATTCACTGGCAATTCATGGGCAGTAGAGAACTTCCAGATTCCCAAGACTCTTTGTAGTAATTTGATCTATGGAAAGAACATTCTGCCTTTCCTTCTGTTTGTATGAGGAAGGAGGAAGGAGTGCGAAGGAAGAAGGATATTGTGGGAAGAGAGAGAAAGGTGATGGTCCAACCCAATACTGGCTCTGAATTTGGGTTCTGTTCATTTTTGCCCACTATCCTAAAGGTGTTTTTTCAAAAAGCAACTGGACTTCCTTGGTTTTCCTTGAAGACATTTCACTTCTCATCCAAGAAGCTTCTTCAGTCAGAACTAAGAAGTTTCTTGGATGAAAAGCAAAACCTCCTTAGGGCAAAACAAAAAAGTCCAATTTTCTTTTGAAAAAGCATTTTTGGCGCAATCATGACCTGGATGACTGAGAATCTCCACAGACCTTTTTGCCCACTGACATGTAACTTGACTTTCATCAGATTATTCCAGTAAGAATGCAACTTTGAACAAGATAACATTGATCATTCCCAATCAGAGTGTAGAATAGAATAGAATTCATTATTGGCCAAGTGTGGTTGGACACACAAGGAATTTGTCTTGATGCAAATACTCTCAGTATACATAAAAGAAAAGATACATTCATCAAGAATGTACAACACTTAATGGTACAACACTTAATGATAGTAATAGGGTACAAGAAGCAATCAAATCATACTAGGAAACAGTCAATATAAATAGTAAGGGTACAAGCGACAAAGTTACAGTCATACAATCACAAGTGGGAGGGGGTGGGTGATAAGGAGTGATGAGAAGATTAACAGTAATTGTAGTGCAGACTTTGTAATAGTTGATCAGTGTTGAGGGAATTACTTGTATAGCAGAGTGATGGCTTTCAGGGAAAAAACTCTTCTTGTGACTAGTTGTTCTGGTGTGCAGTGCTCTATAGCGTCATTTTGAGGGAAGGAGTTGAAACAGTTTATGGATGTGAAGGGTCTGTAAATATTTTCACAACCCTCTTTTCGACTACTGCAGTATACAGGTCCCCGATTGAAGGCGGGTTGGTAGTAATTGTTTTTTCTGCAGTCCTAATTAACCTCTGAAGTCTACTGTCTGTCCTGTTGGGTTGCAGTAAGTGTAAAAAGCTGACATATAAAGGAGGAAAAAGTGCCTTCCTAATGCCTGCATTAATTAGGGTGGGACATGTTTTTCTAACAAATGGAAAAACAAGAGGAACCATCAGCTAGGGACCAATCCAATGGCAGTGAAGCTGGAATCACTGATTGGTGAGGTCAGATCCAATGAGAGTAGAAAGTGATGAAACTGGGTGGAGTTTGCAGCATTGCAGGACTGCATAGTTCTCTCTCCCCACCCTAGACATAGAGTCTTAAAATGTAAATCTACGAAAAGATAAATTTTTGGATTCTTTTGTATTTCAGCTAAGTCTCTGGGAACTGATTGGTATCATAAAAATCTCCCTCACAAGCTTTGATTTTTGACTCCTTGTCTCAAAAACCTTAATTCCAGATTTACTACATTTTTGTGCAGAAATGTTAATATGCCAAGGGACTGTAGGCA